AGGAGGACCACCAGGAGGATGAGGGGAAGAGAGAGGAGGAGAAGGAGGGGGAGAAGAAATAAACATTTAAGATATCTTATTAACTCACTAAACAAAAAAAAAATTAAACACATTTTGTTTTCAAGTTATTTTTCAGGTTATGATGACTTTCTGCTTAAAGGAAATTAATACATGTTTTTTAACAATAATTTGAGTTTTATTAAGCAGTAATTAAACTCAATTCATCAGTATACAGAACCTGTGGGAGTCATACTAACATTATAGAGCCAAACAACCCATTTTTTATTTGTATCCATTCTTTTTAGCCATTTTAGCTGATGTTATATGACGTTACCTATGATGGCCTGGAAGAATCATTTCCAACTGGGACACATGGAGGGAGGCTTTGTGCCGTTTTTACTTCTTTACAGATTCATTTGTAAATGGGCTCTGGGTGGTCCTGGCAGTTCTTCCAGCTGCGTTTTATTTCACACAACTTGGGATGCATAAAAGGAAGGTGTTTGTGGTTGAAGCTCTATGCACATTTTATATATTCCATTTCCCACTGCACATCTCTAAATTTCTCCTTAACTTTCAGTATGAAACATGTTCACACTTATGTATATGCCCCCTGATTTTTGTTTTAACAGAGAACGTTGTTCTCATTCTGCAGGTTTACTAGTGGTTCCTAGAATTTCTAAAAGTAGAATGGGAGGCAGATCTTTTAGTTATGAGGCTCCTCTCCTGTGGAACCAACTACCAGTTTTAGCCTGTGGGAGCAGACACCCTGCCTTGGGTTAACCTAAGCTATCTATTCTTTATGCTGCTTATCCCACTTAAACCAGCTGAAAGATCAACTGCTTAAAAATATTGGATCCTAGATGTAGATTTAAAGAATCAAAGCTAAAAGTGTCGGGGCGCTGTGGTAACTACCTGCCGGTTCGACATTCTCACCCCTTTTTTTCCCCCGCAGGTGACTGCGAACGTGTGGGGTGGTGCTGAACAAACGTGTACTGCGTTTCATGGTTGTGGGACGTCTTAAAAGAGAGCGGCTGTCAGCACCTCAACACTGGATTGTTTGCCTTACCTGGTATGAGTACTTTCGGCCAGCGTCCCATGACGTATTCTCTCTCTAAGAGCTCCATTCCTGTCCCCTAGGTTGTCTTGATCCAGTACCCTCTTGGAGAACCCCTCGAAAACGCTGATTCCTGCCGGGCATAAACACTACCGTTCAAAAGTTTGGGGTCACAGTTAAATGTCCTTATTTTTGAAGGAAAAGCACCGTACTTTTCAATGAAGATAACTTTAAACTAGTCTTAACTTTAAAGAAATACACTCTATACATTGCTAATGTGGTAAATGACTATTCTAGCTGCAAATGTCTGGTTTTTGTTGCAATTTCTACA